GCTTTATCTACAACAACCAGAATGTCTGGGGTGCGCGCACACATGCCGAACACCAACACCCAGAATCGTAGCCTGCCCACATCATGTGGGCAGGCTAGGATTCTGGGTGTTGGTGTTCCCACATCATGTGGGCAGGCTACGATTCTGGGTGTTGTACAGTAGCCAGGGTATCGTTTGTACATCTGGGCGTACGAATCTGTTTGACAAGACAGGCACGGGTGCGACGCGCATCCTCAACATGACCATCGCTATTAAGTGTGCATGTGCGAGTACCTCCCGGCTGTGACATGCGTAAGCACATCTGTTTCTAAATGCGCACGTGCAATGCATGCGACCCTGCAGCAACACATGCCGTTGCGCAGGAATCAAAACCCACGACGTGCTGTATCCCGTGAAAAGCCTCCATTGTCTGTCTTTCTAGTCGTACAGCATGTCTGGAGCATCCGTGCGGCATGTGGGGCAGGCTACGATTCTGGGTGAGGGCCGGCGTGATGTTGTACATCTCGATATAGAATGCGAAGACAAACATAGCCCTTGCAAAATTCTTACACAGTTGACTGCCATTGCCTGAAGCAGCTCTGTGCGGATCTCTCTCTAATCCTGAATTGGCGTAAAGTCTCACGCTAAATACAGTACCGGTACCACAATTTCGAATAGTCCGCATTCACCCTTCCCCCGTACTCAGGTTTTTTCATACACTGCTAGGATGGCCATGCAATGTGTCTGTTGAGGAAATACAAGACCCGCGGCCTTAATCTCGACTTCAAAAAGACGGCACGTTCACAGCTTCACTGCGCATGAATCCATTCATCCCAATCAAGCGAGGCACTTTCGAAACTTCACCTACGGGCACGTTCACGACGAGTCTGTTGTTCTTTTGACTTAAATCGTGTCCATCCACTCGTCCATGACAACGTAGAGTCGTGTCCTTCTCTACTTGTTCAATACGAATGGAGCAGAGCCATGTTTTCTGCCGCAAAGGAAGCTGTTTCGCAAAAAGTAAAAACATTGCTTGGCGACCACCAACCCCTCGAGACTTTCCCAATCTCCCCTACACGTGACCCTTTGTCCAAACCTCCTCCTGTGTTTCTTTCTCGTACCTTTCAGCGTGTATGGAAATGACAGTATGTCGGGCATAAGCCCATCTCAGTCCACTGTCATAGCGCGAGGAATTTATGGCTTCAAGTGAGCGACGATTTACGTAACAAACTCGTACCCTCCTGCCTGATCTGAGGGCCTGGTCAATCTGCTCCACGTTTTCGCGCGAAACATACTCCTGTCGACGGTTTGCGTTTCTGGAATCTCTAACTTTATTGGCCTCCAAAAAATATGCTGCACGCATGCCTGTAAACACTTGATGAGACCAAACATTAAGTGGCTCTGGCAGTCACCATACTCCACACCGGCAATTAGACATATCGTGCGAGTGATCCACACACACCAAAAAGCACCGCCGCTGTTGTCCTTCTCATACGGTATGGTGGCAATGGAGGAACCACAGTTGTCACCGCGGGGGATTGGCTACGATCACTTCCAGAGCATTCTGCGAGAAAAGAAACGAACTTGCGATGGCTGGACTGGCCTTTACGCCCTTGAAGATGAGTCATCATTATGTATGTATACTACTGACGGAGAGAAAGGATTTCTGTGATCTGTTCCTATATCTGCCTTTCATGACAACATTCTGTATCTATACACAGTTTGCAGACAGAAAAAAAAAACGAGGGCGACCCAGGGTTCGGCGCATCGTGTTCGATACGAAACTGAAGAGGAGTGAGGTGCAGCAGCCGTCTCTATGGACGCAACGGTGATTGAGGGTCGTTTTTAGAGGGAGTCGCAAGACTAGAGAGGAAAGCGGACTGCGAATGAGGTTTGTTCTCTGGCAGTGTGGCCCGGGGCAACGGGAAACGGTCAAGAAGATATTGCATTTAATGAGTGTGTGATGATCAGGGTCGTCGTCTCCCGGTACTCAGAGATGGAACCACCGTTCCACTTTTATATGCAAAGTAGGCCAGTTGCAGGTCAGACAGCCACAGCGTAGATAGATCACATGCAGAGCGATGGAGGACAGGCACTCTGAGCAAAGCGTGCCGGCGGGATGGAAGTAAAATGCTGGCAAAGTTCGCTACAGAGCAGCACATAGTGTATAACAGCAACATGAAATGTTGCAAGTGGTGTCCAAGAGCTTTTTGTTTTGCCCGAGTGTTTGCCCCTTCAGTCGCATTCATACCCGGATCAAAGCCAGCTGCTGACACAAAGCGGTATCTGTGCTTGCTACGGGTTCCGTTATCCTCAAGACATGGCTCTTTAATCTAGTATAAACGCTAGTTAATCAGTTTCGGCACCTTGCGTGATTTCTCTGATGAAGTGCTGGTTTAAAGCGGAATGCACGTTGAGCGAGAAAATTCAAGCTGTTCGTACTGATGACGGCAACATCATAAATTCCTTGTGGCCTACATGAGAGGGTACTGTTATTGAAGAGAGAAGAACAGCCGGAATAATGGAACCTTACACCTATCCAATTTTTGAGTCATTATACGAAGCCGCATTATAGATACCTCTCCGAACAAACAAAAAAAAATCTTGATCAGCGACAGCTAGATATACCAGTGTGCGCAAAAAGTTTGCGGTTTGTACTGCCACACAGGCAGCTCTGAGGCAAAAGGCAAGCTCTGATTCATGACGATAACTCTATCTAACGCAGCCTGAAGCTCACTAACGAACAATAAGATTATAAAAGGGGTGTGCCAGTTGCACATATAGCAATAGATGAAGCGATAGATGAAGCCTTCGTAATATTGTGTCATTACTGCAGATGAAATGCTTGCGATTAGTTTTACGTTCGTTTACGCAAGTGCAGTTCAGTGTGGCAATGAGTTCGCTTCCTTCGAGGAGACTCCCATTCCACATTGAAAGATTTTCAGATGCAATCTTTTCAAGAGGCCTTGCTCGCCATCTACTCATTCAAACTGTAATATGGAAAAGAAGTTAGTGATCCCATTGGGAATAATGACAAATTTAATTGAATTAGCATATGGGAGATTGAGGCAAATTCCCCTCCTGTCTCGAGATTCAATGTACGGTCTTCCGCACATTTGGGACCACCAAGTACCGTGAAGGTACCGTAGTATGCCGCTACAATTGTGCATGCTTCAACCATTCTACTTGATTACCGGTCTAATGACTTGACATTGGTGATGGTGGTGGAAGCAGGGGAAGTGAGGACTCCCCGAGACCAGCGTGCATTTTGGTAAACAAACATTGGTTTCTCCTCCTGACAGAGAATCTAATGTTTGTTTAGCAGCGCAGTATGGTATTTATAGTGATGCTTCCGTATCGGTACAAATTTCCACCAGAAAGGCGTATTGCATTATACGAACATCAAAAACATTGATTCCGAGTCCCAGGGAACCTGTACATTGAAATCATGTTTCTCGTAATGGGTGCCTGCGCTTTTTTACTGCGGCACACTTCTTACGGAACATTTCGAAAGACAAAATTTGTTCAGTCGCTCGGCGCGCAAATTCAGAGGTCTTTATATACATCGGTTGTTCTCAGGGCAGTTTGGTTTTAAGCCTAACTGTATTTATATTGAAAGCCATTAATGTTCGAGAGTGGGAGAAAATACGATTCTATGCTTGGATGATATGATGTCTTTGGTGTATCTCATTTGAGGGAGAGGACTCTTTCACAAGGTGCGGATCCATCGTGCACTATTTATAATGCTTGCATGTAGCCCCTCTTGCATGTGATGTGCTTGCACAGTTTGATATGGCGATCTCACTTCAAGTTACAGAGGGCAGTCCGCTAATGGATAGCTTTAATGCTAGAATTGTTTTCATCTCTTTCCGGAACTGCGGTTACTCACGACGGTTCACTATGCCGCTTCCCAATCGAGCATGCTTTTGGAAGTTTGTAACCCGCGAAGAAATGGTGGTGTGGACTGAAATCATTCCTACGTAAAGATGCGTGCCTTCGAGAATCATTACAGTCTCCTGATGAAAATTGGTGAGGGACGCTTCTCAAACGTACACTTGGCGCATCTGAAACGAGATCAAACGCAGCAAGTCTCTGTAAAAGTAATCAACAAGACATACATTCCTTACGACATGCATGACAAACTTCCCAGAGAACATCATATCAATTCAGTTCTGTCCCATCCAGACATTGTGAAAGGAAGAGATGTGTTCTCTACGTTAGAACATGAATATATAGTGTATGATGTTATGTGCGGTCGTAATTTTTCGAATCCTTCTTCGTCGACACGAGCATCTCTCGGAGAGCCCAGCAACAAACATTTGAGTCAGGTCAACAGCGCCTTAATTTATTCTAATTTATATGGAAGCCTGTGCTTCACCGTGACATTCGTCCAGGCAATATTTTCTGTTCCGAAATTGAGTTTCCGATATTGATTGCGCTTAGGGACTTTGGTTCTGCCATGTATTCAACACATACAAAAGTTGACCAGGATGTGCAGATTTCACACGTGGGGGTCGTGCCGTACATGTCACAAATTGATATTTGTCGTGGTGTGTCGTACGGTCCATTGTCTGATTTGTGGTCCGTCGGAGTTCTTCTCCATGAAAAGCTTGTTGGGAAGACGCCTTTTTGCGGATCCTCTGCCCAGGAGTCCTTACACAAGATAAAAGAAGGGAGGTATGATGTGTTATCTGGAAAATAGAAAGGGATTTCTGACGAGTCATCGAAAAGCCTGGTCGGTCCGCTATTGCAACCAGATCCTTCCAAGAGACCGAGTGCTGTGG